TAAAAGAAAGTAGGATGAGGACACAGAAGTAAGTCACATCCACACCTGTTGTCACCAGTAGTCTAGGATTAGCAGCTGAGTTGGCATTCTAGCTTAAGCAGTCAGTTATTCTTTGATTCATTTACAGGTATTTATTGAATGCCTACTATGTGCTTGATTTCTATTGTAACTTGCTAGTATACTTAGGTAAATGAGAGCTCTTATCTAATCCTTAAAAGATTTTAGGGTTACCTCTTCAGAGGAGGGAATCTTAGAGTAGCAAAAAGCCCCAATTAAAAAAAAAATGAAGTAACAGTACATGAAGTTATCAGAAAAAAGTGATGGGGAGATATGGGAGGAGTTGGAGGGGAAGGAGTGGGATATGGATTTGATCAAAACACCTTATATGCATGTATGAAATGCTCAATAAATTATTTATTTAAAAAAAACAGTGGAAAAATGTTTTTACTATCTGGGTTGACCAACTTGAGAATTTAGGAGAAAGAAAAAGCATACACTTATTTTCCCCACTAAGTCTTGGAATTCATTAATTTCACTACATAACTTTAACCTAGTTGGCATTTATGAATACTCTGAAATGATAAACATTTTAAAAGTTATTTACTGATGAATTTTATTATCATCTTTTAAACAAATTAAACAAGTCAAGAATGATTCAGAAGGGAGGGAGGGCCTGGGCATGCAGCTCAACAGTGGAGCTCTTGCCTAGCAACCCTGGGATTGATCTCAAGCACTCCAAACAAAAGCAAAAAATAAAATTAGGGGCTAGAGTATTTTATTCTGGATCCAGCTCTTGCATTTAATTCTGTACAAGTCACTGACTCACCCTACACTGTGGTTTCTGTGCATACCTGCTCCTCTGTGTTCACAATGCTCTACTTTAACAGAAAACTAGTTTTAAGAAATATAAAATAGAGCTATTATATTTCTCAAAAATGTAAAAGCACACATGCCTCCATCTTAGTTTCTAGTGCTACTGTAATAAATGGCCACAAATTATTGACTCAAAACAACACAATTTATTATCTTAGACTTCTGGAGGTCAGAAGTCCAGAATGAGCCCTATGGAACTAAAACCAAGGTCAGCATAGTTTTGTTTCTCTGGGAGGCTCTGGGAGAAGAAGTTCCTTTCCTCTATCAGCTTCTAGAGGCTTCCAGTATCCCAGCCTTGCAGCACTCCAAATCCTGCCTCCACTGTCACGGCTCCTTCTGACTAGGACACTCCCCACTGCCTTTTGTCAATGACATTGGCCCCACAAGGTCAATCCTCCTACTTCAAGGTCATTCATTTGTTTCTTCAGACAGGGTCTCACTCTGTAGCCCAGACTCTCAGTACATAGCCCAGTTTGCTTGCAACTAACAGTCACCCTCCTGCCTCTGCTTCTTGAGGTTAAGATCACTATTTAATAAAGTCTACAAAGTGCCTCCTGTCCTATAAGGTAACATATTCACAGGATTCAGGATTAGGATGTGGACATCTCAGAAGGGTGGCATTATTCTGCACATCACACCCCCAGAGGCTCACTGATGGGTAACTTTGAAGTATGATACTGACAAAAGGAAGCTTCACATCATTAATTAACAATAAAATGGCTATATTTTAATGAGTAATGATAGAAAATCCCATTCCTATTGTCAGGGCAGTAGATAACCCATTGCTGAGCTTTTAGTAAAGTAAGTTCTTTTGTCTACTTTAATGGGAATATGCTTACCAGATTATTTTCCTATCCTATTTGATACTGTATAGTCTGATAAAGAATAAATACAAAAGAGAAATGGAGAAAAGGCAAGTAAAACCACTTCTAAAGTTCTTACTTTCCTATATTAGAAGGTAAGATACAAAGATACTAAAAAATATACTATAATAAAAATTACTATACTATCAGTCACAGTCACAAAATTAACTGTATATTTTTTGGTGCTGGGAAGGAACCTGGGGCCTTTTATGTGCTAGGCCAGTGTCCTACCACTGAGCTACCTCTCTAGTCCTAAATAGTTCTTGAATGTAGTAGTTGAGATAAAGTTACTGAGAATTTTCAAGCAGGTATTTAATGAATATACATTTGCCAAGATTCTGAAAAGAGATTAGGTTAGAGTCCTGATCATACAAAGATTATTAGTGGTTCTAAGTCATCAACAAGCCTTACCTCAGTACATGCAATAAGGTCCCAAGAGACCCTGGAGTTTAGTTTCAGACCTATCCATGAGACAGAAGTCAGTGATCCTTCCTAGCCCTTACCTGCACCATTAACACAGAGAAGGCTATGGCAGCATGCACGGGATCATCAAGAACACTATTCATATGCGTCTAACCTTCAAACACAAATGAATGACAGGCCAATTGGGATCTGAAGGCCATATTTAAATGAATGCCTGTTTATAACCTTAAAGTGAACTTCCCTAACAGAATTCCTGCCCCCTTCATCTCTCTCCTTTTCCCCTCATCAAATCACCATCTAATTCCAAATAAGGGATTATAAATCAATGAATGTTCATAACTTTTTATTAATATCAAAGTTTCCACGTTTGAGACATTCATTGACTTTAAAATCTTTCTTGGCATAGGGGGTTTACATATGGGTTAAACATCTCTAATATGAAAATTCAAAATCTGGAATGCTCTAAAATCTGAAACTTCTTGAGCACTGATCTGATGCTCAAAGAGTTGGCTTTTGAGCATTTCAGGCTTCCCATTTTTGGACTAGAAATGCACAATCAGTAAAGTCTATACAAATCATTGAAAAAGCTGAAAAAAATCTAAAACCAGAGATATTTTTGCTTCCAAGTGTTTCATATAAAAAGTCTGTTCCGCCTGCACCAACAGCATGTTACCACTTGGAAGCTAAAGATCACCGTGCAGATACAAGATGGGCATTCCAAGCAGTGCGTCCTCCTTCACTAGTTTTTCTCAGAACCTCTGAACTGCAATCCTCCTAGCGCCCAGGGTCTCAACTGCCTAGGCTGAAGAGAACAGATTTCTCTGACCAGAGTTTCTGCAGTATAGTATCAACTGAAACCCACTGATGGAGCCAAGCCCAGCATCTGTACAGGAAAACCAGAACTCTCCTCCTAGCAGGCCCAGCAGAGTCCTTTCACTTTCAATCCTCTTTGCTCACTAGCTGTAAACATCAGGGGGCTCATTTTTATCACGGTTTCTTTTTTTTTTTTGTCTTTTTGAGACAGGGTCTCCCTGCAGCCCCAGCTGTCCTGGAACTCACTATGTGGACCAGGCTGGCCTTGAACTCACAGAAATTCGCCTGCCTCTGCCTCCCGAGTGCTGGGACTAAAGGCGTGCACCACCATGCCCGGCCTAACACGATTTCTTTTAACAACAAAAATAATGTTGTTTTTACTGATCAAAAAAGAAAAAAAAATTTGTTCAGAAAAATAAGGGCTAAAAAGTTTGGGAGGTGCTGGTAACTCTAGTCCAGAAAACATGTAAGAAACTTTACCTTTGGCTTGCCAGTGGTGTTGCAGCAGCTGACTGTGTTACCATGCAAGACACTAAGGTTCAGGGTCAAACTAACGGTTCAGATGTCCTGGGCTGGACACATAGTTGAAGAGAGACACCAAAGAAGAGATGGCCAGACCAACCCTCACACAGCATCCCTTCCTGGTTAGTTCATGGTGTGACAGTGACACTGACTGGCCTCGTCCTGCCAATGAATGGCAAGGCACTGCAATGGCGGCGCCTGAAAATGAACAGGAGTGACTGGGAACAAAAAGGGAGGGGAAAGGTGGCCATGATGAAGAAATGAACAAAATGCCAAATTTCTGTTATACCTCACTGTTACATCAATTAGTCGATATCATAATGACACGGAAAATGAAGAATAAAACAAAAAGAAAAAGATAAAGAAACAAACAAGAAAACACCCAAAAAAAAAAACAAAGCAAAAAAACCCCTGCTACCTACTTTAGCAGATGCAGCAGTCTAAAAATTTGAGTTTGTATCTTTCAACATGACTACATACAACTACAGCAAGAGTTGATTCGATTTAGTGCAAAACTAAAACAGAGTATTTTTTAAAAACCAGTGTTTCTATAATCTGATTTAGTTTTACTTTTTACTAAAGTAAAAGACTCAGTCCACAATATTAGAACGACCCAGACTTACCAAACAATTCCTTGGGCTCCTGAGCCAATTGGTTTCAACTGCTGGTAACGTTTTAGGACAGTGAAGGTTGAGTCCGCCACTTGCACACTGTAAAACTGACTATCGCATTTGCTGTCACTCATGATGTAGTGTCATACAGTATTCCAAAGAGGTGGTAGCGTTGTCAAATCCCTTAAAACAGAAACAGAATGAACCAACATTCTTCCTGAACTACACACACAGAGCTCACTTAAAGTCATTTCAGATGTCCTGAGAGTTGAGACCGTGTGGCTGTGAACTGGTAAACTCACCCTGGCCAAGTCTGAAACTTAAACAAGGCACACACATACACAGAAAAGCAAAGACATTTCAGGAGTGTAAGACCATTACGAAAAGCAGCGATTTTGAGGCCCAGAAAGACCACATTTTATTTTTTATTTGTATGAGTGTTTTGCCCACATGTATATAAGTATACCCAGCACCCGGTGTACAATGCCTGCAGAGCTCAGAAGAGGGTGTCAGATCCCATGGAACTGGAATTAAGGACAATTGTTAGCCACCATATGAATGCTTGGAACCAAACCTGGGTCCTCTGTAAGAGCTGAGCTATCCCTTCAGCCCCTCCATTTCCTTGTTGTGGGACTCAACCACAGATGTGGGCACCATTTCTGAATGTTTCTGGAATTCCTGGAGATGAGTAAATGCACCAGTCTTCTAAATCTATGGATTCTGGTTAAAGTGATGAACCACAAAGCAAAATTCACATGCCAAAGAAACAAGCTGTTACAAGGCTAAAGATACTGGTATGAGTTGTGCATCCTGTAGATGGGCCTGTTTCATAAAAGTAGGCCAGAGCTGATCTTCATCTCATAAACTCGACTGTACCACATAATAAAAAAGTTTATCGACACTATAAGCATACTCACATATGAGTATAAACCAGTGCTCAGAAAGCAGGTTTCCTGTGCTTTAGGCAGCAGGCTGAGAGTCCCAGAGTCAGGTTTGAGTGTGAAATGTGCCCCACAGGCTGTCTGAATATGTGGTCCCAGAGAGTAGCACTGTTTGGGGAGGTTGTGGAACCTTCGGAGGCAGGATGGCTGAAGAAGGTGAGTTTCTGGAGGACAGGCATTGAGGGTAACTGCCTATATGTTTCCAGCCCAAACTGCATCCTGGTCTATGGACATGTGAGGAGTTCCAGCCACATACTTCACCACCATGAGCTCCACCGTGATGAACTGTGCCTTCTCAAACTGTGAGCCAAGATAAATTCTTTCTGTCCTAAGTTGCTCTGCTGCACATTCTGACACAGTGACTAGAAAAGTGAGAAAAAGTAATTAATGTATTCACCCTATAAAGCCTGGATAATTATGAATAGAAAACAAGCCAGAATATGCTCAGATCCTTGGCTCTGGTCTGATGGTGTTTATTGGAAGATTAGTGAGCTACTTATTTTGGTCTTTTAAATTTAAAAGCCAACAACAAAATCATAGAGGTAAACATTGTATGAACAATTTTTTTCTATAGTATCATCAAATTCCTGCCTTTGTGTTCCACCATTTGATCTTTAGGGTCTACCTGGTTAGCTTTCTGCAATGATAACATTTGTCTTCAACACGATGCTGTCTAGAATTTTAAAACATGGAAACAAGTTAGTAACAGCCTTAACAGAAGCAGCCCAAGTTGCTACAACAGGTCACTGTATCCTATACTCCAGGAGGGTGGTCATCTGTCTTGCTCACCCTGGCCCCTCTCACTCTGAGGACAGCACCAGGACCTGGCCTTTGGGATACTGTGAATAGTCAATGAGCCTTCACCAATCTGACCAACCCTATTACACCTTCTGATTCTTTACAAAGCTGATCCATTTTACTGACATCAACGAATATCCTTTTTAAAAAGATTAATTTATTTACAGATTGTAAGAAACTAAAAAAAAAAAAAACCTAACTCAATAGGGAGTGCCTCACATAAGTGATAAGCATCACAGAAAATGTACCAAGAACAGTTGGGAACCAACCTTAAAATAGCAAATAATTCACTATTTGGGGAGAACTACAAGGAATGAGTTCACTATATTTTATAAAAATTACAATGAGGTAAAGGCCTTAAGACAATGTAAACATGAGCAAAAAGCAGAAGAGCTCCCACACAATGGCAGGCTGCAAAAGATAAGGAAGGCTTCATGCAGGAGCTGGCATCCACCTGCCTTAAGCTGTTGTGCCAGGGACAACACAGAAGAGCTCAAACTGGGTCCAGACATGATGAGCTGCTCTACTTGGCCAGTGAGGTACAAGGGCAAAGGATCGGACTTGGGTCTGATCAGGTCAGATGAGTAGTTTCTCCAAGTGACCATGGTGCCATGTTTTTCCCATCTTTCCTGGGTTAGCCTGACCAGCCATGACCACTGACAGCCATGAGTACTTGTGGCCAGGAAGTACTCCCAGGGAAGGACAGGTGCCCACTACAACCTGCTTTACTGAGGCTCTGTTGTTCTTCCGTCACATTGGTCATACACCAGTCATTGACAAACTTTACCCACCACAGTTGAAGTCCCTGCTAGAACACTGAGCCTGCCATCAGCCAGTTTATGAAGCATGTGTTCTGGGCACGCGGGAGGCCCAGCACCCACAAGAACAGGGAAGGTTTTGGAATATGAAGAAAAGTAGCAAGCACAAAAAGGAAGAGGTGTGTTCAAGGCATTTGAAGTTGTATTTCTGGGTAGTGAGAAATGAAGATGCAGAGAGAAGAGACTATTATCACTTCCAGCCAAGAAAGTCAGGCAGAGCCATTTTGGTCCCAAGGAATGTGGCAGCCCTCAAACACCAGAAGTACAAGATCAGTCTTGCTTTTCAGATAGGAAGTTTGGGAAACAAAAAGGGAATGAATTAGAGCGGGTGGGATTGGAGACAGAAATCAGGGGAAATGAAAAGGCGACAGCAGGTGAGGAAAGGACAGAAATGAATAGTTTTGAGAAAGGGTTACAGGATTTGCTAAGTTGTAAGGAGGAGGAATAAGGGCGAAGAAGCTGAAGGTAGGCAGGAGATCACAGCCACATGGGGGTTTGAGTCCATCTTTGGACAGGTGACTTATTTTTAATTTTTTTTAATTTTATGTGTATGAGTATATTGCCTGCATGTATGTGAGTGCACCTGTGTGTGCAATGCTACAGAGGTCAGAAGAGGGCTTCGAATTCCTCTGGAACTGGAGTTAAGGACGGTTTGTAGCCATCATGAGGGTGCTGGGAATCGAACCCGGGTCCTCTGCAAGAGCAGTCAGTGCTCTTAACCGCTAAGCCATCTCTCCAGCCCCCGGACAGATGATTTATTAAAGGACTGTGGTAGAACTGTGGCACAAGTTGCTGACATCCACCAGGATCCACTCCCATCTTTCCAGCTTTAGTAACAGTATTCATCTCATCCTGGCTGGAAAAACGGCTGCCAGCTTTCCTAGTGGCCAGGTATGGCCAGGTATGGCCAGATGACCAACTTCTGACCAAGAAGACAACAGTAGACGTGACATATAAAATTTCCAGGTCACATTTGTTTGTTTTGTTTTTTTTTTCACAGAAAGCTGCTTACTGTTCATTCTCTTTCCCTTGCTGCTGGTGAAGGCACAGGCTGTCAGAGACCCAGAAATGGAAGTCACATGCTGGAAACAGTTGAGCAGTCCACCAGCAGGGTTAGTGAATGACCTGGTGGCAGAGCTTCCCTATTTTCAACCACCTGCCTGTGCTGAGACTCATAAACGATTCTCCACTTCTCCAGCAGCTCGGGAGTTCTCTCTGTTCTAGCCGCTTACACCTGACCCTACGGTACGAGGTCAGCTTCCTTGAATTTGAGGAGTAGAGCTCATCAGAACAGGCTCAGGAATTATTAATATAATTTCATTTCAAGATGTAAGATCATCCTAAAATTAAGATAAGTACTCATTAGGCAGAAAAAAAAAATCACCCATGAGAGAAACTGCCAAAGCTACCCTTTCCGTCTGGTTTCAGCTTCATGAGAGCAAGACAAAGACCCCCAAGGCAATCTGAGAAACAGGAAGTTTAGCTGCTAATGAATCTACTCTATGGGACCAAAGGGCCATAAACTGGTTGGCCGGGCGTGGTGGCACACACCTTTAATTTCAGCACTCAGGAGGCTGAGGCAGGTGGATCTCTGTGAGTTCAAGGCCAGCCTGGTCTACATAGTGAGTTCCAGGACAGCTGGGGCTACAGGGAGACCCTGTCTCAAAACAACCAAAAAAAAAAAAAAGTTGATATGTACCAGAATTCCTCATGCAACCACATCGGCCAGACACCCAAATCCGGATGGCCTCACCTCTACCTACCACCCCAGCAGGTGCTGTCTCCCCATCCTTGGTGCCTGCATTATACTGCTCTGCCACCATTCTGTCCAACATGGTGCTCCATCGATGCCTGTTCCACACTCCAGCAGCACACTGAGCTGGGACATCAAAGCTTTTACAGGTCTGCCTCTTTCCTGGGCCATGAGCTCCTCAAAAGTAGGGAGACAGGAGCTGGGGTGTCACTCAGTGGTTGAGTACTTTCCTAACATGTACAAGGCCCTGGGTTCATTCCCAGAAGTCCTTTCCTCTCAGAGAGAGAGAGGGAGGGAGAGAAGGAAGGAGGGAGGGACTGAGGGGAATCACAGAAAAGGAGTGGGTGAGAAAGTGCAGAGAGAGGGGCATGAAGAAGGCTTTGCAGAGGAGGCAAGACCTCAGCTCAGGTTTGTTCATACTATCAACCAAGGCAAGAGGACACTTGGACAAATGTTGGTGAGAGCTGTGAGGTGGTAACAGAGCACAAGTAACAGCTACTGGAAAATCTGCGTGCATGGGAATCCTAACCAGCAACTACGAGTCTAAGCGTATGAAGTAAACATGCATGTACAAATATTCAAAGATATTTGTGCAAAAATGTAGAACTTCTAATAGGCAAAAGACTATAAATAACCCAAAATGCACACTGCAGAACAACTGAATAAATTACAACATAAGGAACAATAAGCCATTAACAGAAGACAGGGGCTTTGTGTACTGCTTTGGAAAAATATCTACGATACACAAAGGAAATAAAGCAAGTTGAAGAGACCACGTAATAAATGGCACTCTGCATGCACCTGTGCACACACCACACATGATACATACACATTCATACACATACCACACACACATATGCACACATATATACACACACACGCACACTCATACCCATACCACACACGTGCGCGCGCACACACACACACACACACACACACACACACACAAACATCCCAGCATCTATGCCAGCAAGTATAAAGAAACAATACGAAATATAATTTTCTGTTCTATTTAACTACGTGCATTTACATTTAGAAAAATTAATTTTAAAAAAATTAAATGAAAATCCACAGAATGATCTGTGACCCCTATGTGGAGGGCAGATTTGAGACAGGTGAGACTGGAGGAGGGAGAGCAGGGAGGGCTCTGAAAGACACACTAACAAATGCTCCCAAGCAGCTTCTGAGGGATGTGCTACTATCCTGACAGCAAATGAGGAAAATGAGGGTTAGAGACAGCAAGGGAGTTGCCCAAATCCCCAGCGTAGCCGAGAACTGGACAAGGTGTGCCTGCCCACACCGCTCACTCTCCCCCAACACGCCACTCTCACATCAAGGACTGGTTAGCACCATGCCAGAAAAACACAGGCCCTCTCTCACTTCATCCCAGACTTCCCTCTACAACACACTTTTTTTTCTGATGACGAAGACAACTCAGTGATCCATCCTCAAACATGCAATCACATCAAACATTCAGAACAGCCAAGACATGCACTGTTTAAATGAACTGACTGCTATGGCTAAAAGCTGATTCTCACAAATACTCTTTCAATACTGGCTCCTGAAATTGTTCTCACAAAGCACTCTAATTCTTATGAAATAATTAACTTATAATAACTTAACCTTCCCCCATGCCAGGGACTGAACACAAGGACTCTCACATGCTAAGCTAGTGCTGAATCACTGAGCTGCATCCCCATCCCCAGTTTCCTGATATATTACTGTACCATAGTTAGGGAAATATACACTCAGTTGATACTCAAGAACCTTATAGCCTTGCAGGGCTGCCCTTCTGAACTTCAGTTTCTGAATCACAGTATAGACAACAGTACGGGATGGTGACTTGTGTTCACCTCACTCCCTAAGTACCCAGGAGGCTTTCTTTCTGTGGGTCCTGCTTTCACGCACCCAGGCCTGTCTGTCCTCCCCTCTCTTGTTCTGCTCCCAGTGTCATGCCTAAGCTTTCCCATCACTCCCTAGACCTGGCAGCAAA